CACCCCCCGAACTATACAGATCCAAAGAACAAAACGCATTATTAGTACCTGACCAGCATTTAAGGTTAATGTAATAATATCTTGAATGTGTTTAAAAAAAAATAAAACACCCTTTCATATATTTTGTCTTTTAGATACTGCATGTGTAAAGATTTTTTTTTAATTTTATCTGAAAGAAACTGGTAAAACTTATAATTCAGAATACTTTTGCTTCATAAAAGGTATACTTCTGGTAACAACTGTTTGTTTGTTTTTCTTTTCTAGCCTCTTCTTGTGCCTCATAGAATTCACTCAACGAGTAGAAATGTGAGAGAAGAAAAAACACGTTCTGAAATAAACTGTAAGCATGTATATATGTTATGAACTTTTAGCTTTACAAATTTAATAATTTGATACTAGGTTTTTATTTAAATGGTGTTCTTGCCTATCTTACATGACTAAGAACATTTTTATTAAGAGCCAGCACAAAATGAGTGTATATGCAGTTTCATTCACTGTTGTCCATAGTCTGTTCCTATACTCACAATGTGAATTGCATATTGTTTTAAAAGATGCGTTTAGTCAGATAAACAGGAGGAAAAAAACTATATCACAAAAAATCATACAATCATCCTTGCCTCTTGTACATTTCCTGGACCATCACATCTACAACAGCACCCCAGCCCCTTTTGTCAGATAAATTAACCTTTTCCCTCCCAACCCTCTATCAAATCTCACTGTTGCTAAGCCTTAATGGAAAGGGGACTTCATAGTTTCATAGTTGATAGGGTCCGAAGGGACCTGAGCAGATCATCAAGTCTGACCCCCTGCCATAGCAGGAAAGAGTACTGGGGTCAAATGACCCTGGTTAGGTGATTATCTAGCCTCCTTCTGAAGACCCCTGGGGTAGGAGTGAGTACCACTTCCCTTATAAGTTGTTTTCATATCCTAGCCACCCTGAATGTGTAGTGCTCCCTGATGTCTAGCCTGAACCTACTCTCAATCAGCTTGTGGCCATTATTCCTAGTTAGTCCTGGTAGTGCTCGGGGGAACAGGGACTCTCCCGTTCCCCACAGGTCCCCCTGGTAAGTTTATAGATGGCCACCAGATCTCCTCCCAGCCTTCTCTTGTGGAGGCTGAACAGGTTCATAGCTTCTCTTTGTAGGGCCTGCCCTGCTGCCCCCTGACCATGCAAGTGGCCTTCCTCTGGACCCTCTCAATGGTGTCCACATCCCTCCTGAAGTGTGGCACCCAGAACTGGATGCAGTACTCCAACTGTGGCCTGACCGATGTCGCTTAGGAGGGAGGATCACTTTCTGGGATCTGCTCATGATGCATATGTGTATGCATGACAAGGTGCAGTTAGCCTTACTGACCGCATCCTCACATTGGCGGCCCATGTTCATCTTGGAATCAATAATGACTCCAAGATCCTTTTCTGCCTCTGTGCTGACAAGAAGGGAGTTCCCCAGCCTGTAGGTATGCTTCTGGTTCGTTCTCCCTAGGTGCAGTACTTTGCACGTGTGAGTATAGAAACCCATCCTATTCTCATCCACCCACCCCTGTAACCTGTCTAGATCTAGTTGTAGCCTGTCCCTCCCTTCTAACTTGCCCGCTTCTCCCCACTTAGTGTCATCCGCAAATTTGAACAAGATGCTATTCACCCCCTCATCCAAGTCACTGATGAAGATGTTGAACGGTGCAGGCCCGAGGACCGAGCCCACTGCCCATGTCCCTCCAGGTCAAAAGTGACCTGTCCACCACCACTCTCTGGGTGCGGCCCTCTAGCCAATTTGCAACCCATCTGACTGTGTAGGCATCAACACCACAGTCGCCTAATTTATTTATTTTTTTTACTTGAAATTAAATTTCTCTCCAAGCCTATCAGTATCACTTGGGCAGCAAATCAGAGGGGGTTTCCAAAGAGCAGCAAAAGATTCCTTCTTCAATCACAGGCTCAGCAAGTTATTGTCCTAGTACTGTATTGGCTTGTGCTGTGCCTTGGTGCTCTGATTTAAATAGTTCTGCAATTAAACATTTTTTGGGCCTACCAATAATAAAATGTTTTCTTTAGAATTGGAGTGACAATCCTATGGAACTTTACAACCAGGGCAGAGAACTCATATTAAAAAAAACAAACAACTTTTATCCCATCACATTTCTCATTTAGTTATAATTTTAATATTGTCAGTTTTACTTTCAAGTGAAAATGATTGCACACTTAACCTCTAGTCAAGTCAGAAGACAAGAATGCAATTAATATTTGTTTGCTTATTTAACCACAAGATTCATAAAGCTAATCGTAATTTGAATTTTTTAGATTGGTGTTTTTAACAAAAATTAAGATTCCTTCTTGCCCTTTTATCCAGCGATTTTTAATGTCAGTGAATTAGGGAGTTTCTTTGGGAGTGAGTATCTAAAAAAGGAAGCTAAAAAAGTAATTGGCAGGTTGTCCAAAAAAATGCTTGCCTCCATGTTTGCATTCTGTTTCTGGGCACGTAGCCTCTATGCTTATGGGTGACTAGGCATTAATACTGTGTAGTCTCACTGAACATGTGTAGTAGCAGCCATAGAACGCATGTGCACATCCCGTGTGGACTCATAGCAGCCTTGGACCCCCTCTACATGTGAAAGTAAAGGCACAATGGGATTTAATGTGCGATTCATTCAGGTGCTCTTCCTGTCAGGCCACACAAGTAGAATTGCACATTAGATCCCATCATGCCATATTGCTAGTACTGGGCAAGCCTGATCCTGGGCTCCCCCTGCACAAGCAAGAAGCAAGCTGTCACAGCTGAGCACCCAGTCAGCTGAGAGCTCCCAGCTGCAAGGGCACCCCATGCACCCCTGAGGCTGGAAGATGCAGCTGTGGTGATCTCCCTGCCCTGGGGGGTGTGAAACCTGTGGGGCAAGGAGATTGCCACTGCAGCAGTTTCCCAGCCCTGGAGGTTTCATGCACCCCAAGGGCAGGGCGAGTTGTAGTCATGGTGTGAGGCCACTGGGACCTAGCTGGGCCTTGGCACCAGGAGGCATGCTGCAGCTGTGGGGTGCTGCTGAGACCCAGAACAGTTGTAGGACTCGCAGCTCCAACTGGATAAAGTGCATCCCTGCAGCTGGGAGCCCTCAGCTGATGGGGCTCCCAGCCTCAGGGGAGACCCTGCTACACATGCAAATTAAAGTTCGACAGCAGCCAGTTAGTGCACCTTTTTGAAGTTTAAGTTTATAGTTGGTGGGAACTCTAACGTGATATAAGTAATTTGCACATGTAGCTGGTCTCAAGGTAATTGTGCAGTTAACCAGTTAGTTAATTTTGCGATGCCTGTATCATGTAGAGGGGGTCTGCACAGGAATGGAATAAGCCAAAACCCACAACTGTGGGTGTGGACATACAAATCTTGGTGTCATTTCAAACAGGTAGGAGCTCAAGGTACTAACTGTTGTGTGTGATTGTGCTCAAAACAGTTCAAATGTATTAAACCTGCTTCAACTTTTCCACACCTTCCTCCCTGGTTAAAGCTGAAGCAGGTTTGCTGCATTTGAATTATTTTCATGTCATTCACACACAACAGTTGGAATGTACCAACTGCTGGCCTCTTGGAAGAGCGCCCAGCATTTGTGCATCCACACGCTCTGGCCCGTGCCACACATTATGCATATTATGCAGCTAACTGGTTAATCACGCAATAAACTTTAGACCTGCCCCCAGTGCAAAGTAATTATCACACAATAAAAATTATTATCCAGCTCTAAAGTTAGTACTTGAAAATGTGTAACAACTCTATAGCTGGTTTCTATCCAGCTTTAATTTGAACATGTAGCAGGGCCCCATGAGACTTACAGGTGGAAGGAAAAAAATGATGGGGGGAGAGAGCATGTCCGTGTGTTGGTCCATGCATAACTCATTGCTACGACACTCACGTGGGATGCTGGAGGTTCAGTGTTCTAAGCTCCCCTTGTCCAAAGGAAGTTTGACTTGGGATCTCCCTCATTTCCCTGCAGAGAACTCTGACCATCACACCACACGTCAGCAGCCATAGCTCAGCACTTTATCCAGTGTTCCTTTTGAAGCTGAATTGAGCCACTAACTATGATGGAGGGTAGCGTAAGGTAAAGCTTCTGCCTCACTAGGAATACGGGCCCCAGCTAGAACCCAGAGCCACCTCCTTTCCAGGCTGGCAGACACTTTAATTAGCCCCAAACTTGTGTCTTGCTCTCTTTCTCCTGGACCCACGTACCTCCCTTTCATGGCTTCTTACCAGGCCAGCTTCGAAAGGAAGTGTGAGAAAAGGGTCTGGATAATAGCTGACCTGCATTGTGGTGACTAGTGCTGTGTTGGGAAGTCAGACTCAGATTCAAAGCCTCTTGGGGGAGAGGGAGCAAACCCAGGTCTTCTGGCTTCCCAGGTGAGCGCCCTAGCTGCTGAGCTGTTTTGGGGAAAAAGATAGGTCACTCTGGCTCAGTGGTGATGCATGGGGGATGCACAGGGGTGCATGTGCACCCCGTGAGAGCACTGATGCACCCCCTGACAGGCTGCACTCACTGCTTAGGCAACAGGCAGGTGGGGGTGCCAGGTGAAGCACCGCAGCCACTTCCGGGACATCTCCTCCCCCCGTTGGTGAGATTGGTTGTGGGGGGACACCCTCCCTCCTGACTTCCTTGCAGGGGGAAGGCATATGCCCCCCTGACTCAGGTGGCACCAGTCATCCATGCTCTGGCTCTGTCCCTCCCTGTCCCTCTGTCTCTGTCCTCCACCACCCCCCTCGCACCCCAGTTCTGAGTGTGTACATAGCCATCTATGTTTATCTACATGAAGTCAATACAGAGTGCTAGCCTGTGCATAAATGGGATGTATACAACCAAATCTGGTCATCTAGGTCAGTGGTCTCCAAAGTGGGGTGTGCGCAAGACGATCCATTTGGGTGCGGGAAGAAAATATTAGAACTTCTATTTATGTTTATTTTTTATCTAAAAAAATAAGAAAGAAATTAAGCTTTACTAATATTTAATATACGGATTGACACTGGCACCCTCACTTGATCTGTATGTCAGACGGTCACATGTCATGTACAGTACGCGAGTAGTACATGTATATAAGTTATAAATAAATAAATATGCATATATTCGGGGTGCATGCTCAAACATTTTTTACTGATAGGGGTGTGTGATCAAAAAAGTTTGAAGACCACTGATCTAGGCATCTAGAAAATAATGCCATCCTAAGCCTGTTGCCTATGAACAATTACAACTCCCTACCATCGTTCTTCAGATTTTGGAGGTTTTTTTCTGACTCTTCTGATTGGAACAATTGGGGAGTATCTCATAGCAATACTACCATGCTGTACGAAAGACAGCACGTGTGACTCCAGTGCTCACTACTTTCTAAAAGTTGGTGAGCTCAAAGAATGTGTCTCTCAAAAGTGCAGATCAGTAGAGATGTAATATGTCAGAGGCTGGCAATAGTTTGGAGTTGGGGACTGTTTTAACACAGCTTAAATCTGAATGCGGGCTATTTCCAAACCAGTCACCACTCAGCCTGCAGTGCTGCTGCCGAAGCCCCTCATCACCAAAACCTCCTGCCTCTGTGCCCCATGTAAAGTGGATCCAGCTTGCACGCTATAGGTTGCTGACCTCTGTAATATGCTATTAATGCTGAATTAATTATTTTAGTTAGTGGGCAACCTTGCTTGGAAGCTAAATCCTTTCTTACAATAAGCAATGCCAGATCTTGACTTTGAGTTTTTCCTCTTTAGTTGGGCAAGTAAAGTTTGATCCACCTTTAAGGAAAGAGACAGAGCCACATCACGAATTTGTAAGTAATATACACAGTGGGGTTTATTCTGCATGTTATTTCCTGCAAACTGGAGTGGGGGAAAAGGAGCTGGGGAGACTTATATCATAACTTCTTTCTCATCACCACCAATTTTATCAGTAAAGCCTTGGTGTAGTGGGTGACATAAAACTAATTTTTTGATGGGGCTCTCACTTTATATGCTGCAGATCCCTTTATGGGATTTACTGGAGGTTGTGTGCGATTATCAATCTTTGCCCTGTTGGGCTTCTTCACCTCTTAAATGTGCCTTGTTCTTAGGGTCTTGTTAAATCCCTTATTGCATACATTTACAAAAATCTATTGTCACTTGCACTTCATGCTGCTGTTATGAGAATTATTTGCATTAGCATTAATAATAATAAAACTGAGAATACAGGAAGGGTTATATGTTACATTGAAAATGATTAATTCAGTGTTTGAAGTTTCACTTGAATAATTTTTGTCTTTGTCCTTGACACTTGTCAGCTGAAGTGTTTTCTGACTTGTTGTCTTTTCAGCACTTTATCACCTGTATCCTTATCAATGCATTGGTTGACAGGAGCTCAGGCAGGTGGAGAAAGGGACCTCTCTTTTATTCAAGTTGTACAGTTTCCTGCTCTTTCCCACAGACTTTTCCTTTCCACTTTTGAATACTTAATGTTTGTTCTCCTCAACCCTTATTAAAAAGACAAAGAAGGAAAAGATTCCTTTTCTTTTTGTCAGAATTGCCTTTTACAGACTAGTGGCTGTTTGCTATGGGCAGGTACTAAGGAAAAACAGTTGGCTGGCTTCCTTAGGGCCAGCTGACTCATTACCAGGGCAGAAGAGGCAGCAGCTCTGCTTTTGGAGCTCAGCTCAGAACAAGGGTAGGGCTGGAGCAGTACTGCTCCAGTCTGGTGTAGGAGCCCTTTGGGAGCAGGACTTCTGCCATATATTTTCCTCTGTACTCCTGTACAGTGTCTCCTTCCTTCCCTGATATGACCCCCAAAGTAAAGGATAAGCCAGCTGAGTTGGGGTGCGATATACTATCACTCAGCACCTTAGTGGTCAGGTTTATGTAGCCTCTAGTAGCTCTGTTAGAAAGAAGGCAAGTGTTTGTGTAGAACAAACCAGGACTACACAGTAGCTTAGGTAGGTGCATGATCACATTACTTGGGGTACTAATAGTTTTTACACGCATGCGTGCACACACACACATTTTTATGTTTATAAAAAATAAGATGTTTATTGGCTTAATCTGCACCACTGTAACATGCATGTTATGGAAAATAAAATGAATAGCACTTTCTTTAATTCAAAATTTATTTAAAGTCTTTCCATTTTCTGCGTAATCCTGTTTTTTTTAGCAGTTCTTGAATATGTAATTAACAACAGAAAAATGAAATAACTGAACTTAAAACTAAGTGTGACTCGGTGTATGTACCAGTTACCAGCTGGGCAGTCATTTGGGATGGAGCAGTGTCTAATCTTGCGCTGCAGTGAACAAACCAAAAGGGGAATTTTTCTCTGGGACTCGACGCACTGCCTTAGAGAGCATTTATTTGGCAGGTGTTCGTAGGGAGGAGTCAAGCTTCTTCCCATACTTGGTAGAAACAAGCAGGTCACTGCAGTTTAGAATCTTTGTTGCCCTCCTTGCAGCAAGAAAAGATTTGAACTGTTTAGATTAAGCCTTCTAAGAAGGGAACCATTTGTATTGTTTTGCTCTACCAGAACCGCTTGTTTTAACCCTGGCAAAGAAATGACTTTATCACTTCGCCTGTAACAGTTTGTTTGGATCTTTCTGAACAGGGACATTAAATGCCCAATTGCCTGCCCTAGCAAATGGAAGTATGGACCACTGTTCTGTGCTCTGCAGCGAAAGGGATTTTCTTTTTTTAAAGACACCTTTTTGTATTTTTCCTTTTAAAACGTTATTACTACCTTATTCCAAAGGGCCTTGTTGGAAACCTTTCTACAATACCAGTAAAATAATTTGAGTTTTCCTGTTCCTTACGACTATAAATGAAGAAAAATCCATCCAATTTACCAAAATATTTTATTTTCGTTTTTCACAAGGTTACTGTGAAATAAGTGAAAACTTTTGTGGTTAATTTTTTGTTGCAGTTGTCATAGGTGCCTGCTTAAACTAGTCATATTTAATGTGATGCTGGTTCAGTAGTATGCTGCAAATTAAAAGAACCAGTTGAAACTCATTTTTTGTTTTCTGCTTCTTGGGAAGCGAGCAGGAGAGGATTATGAAGGTGATAGTCCTATCCAAAGGACTGAAAAAAGGACTATTGAATCCTTACATTTTTTTAATATTCTGGCTAATTGAAATTGGTATACTAACAGGGTGCAAAAGGAAACCCTATTCAGTGTAAAACTGATACTTATGAGAAGGCTGTTACTATATGGGAGGCTGAGAGGAAAAAATTTGAAGTAATCGGTAGTACAGTATAACCGCATAACTTGGGATCAAAAATCCAGCACTTCCCTGCACTGCTCCAGGACTGGCCGCTGCTCTCTCCCCCCACCCCACCTCCAGACATGGAGCGGGAAACTTGCACGCGGCAGCTGCCACCGCCATTTGCCACCCTGCACCGCTGCTCCACATGCAGCCACTGCTCCGAGACTGGCGACAGCTATCCCCGCTCTGTGACCAGATGCCACGCTGGTTTAAAAAACTGGCATTTTCAAATTTCTGGCAGGTGCTCGGTCCGAAACACACTGGTTATGAGGTTATACTGTATTCTGACAAATGAAAGAATCCATCTGTAAACTGGAGTCCAAGGTGTGAAAAAAAATAAGCTTAATCCCAGTTTTGTAAAGCAGTTCATTCCCCCCCCCCCAATTAAGGCATGTTTAAACTTTTTATGCTAATTTAATTAATTTTTAATATGAAATGTAATTTTTTTCAAAAGTTGTTTAACATCGTTTTAATACTGCATTTGCACTAACACGATTTGGCTAAGAAATTTTCCCTCTGTATACCTGGCTTTCAGTCTCAATATAAATAACTTGAGTTTTTTTGGTCTCTATCTGATGAACAGCACGACTGTAGCGATTTTTTGGACAATTCAGAAGAAATATACTACACTGCAAGATCTAACCTGGTATTTTTCATCTTCTGATTTTCTTTGTCAAAGTTGGTTTTGTGTCTCTATTCTTGTTTTTCAAACTAATGTTTTGTCTAGTTGTAGTTGCTTTAGCATCTGTAGAACCATTTTTCAGTCTAAGAATCAATTTATTTGAACAGTTCAATACTACAGGGGAGGAAAATATTGAATTCATGTTGAAATGTATTTTTTTGAAGTGTCAATATTATACATCAGTACTTTTTTTGTTTTCATGCTATCTAGTTTGTTTTTGTGTGGGGAAGGGGTAATTGGAAATAGGAGAGATGCATTCTTACTATCTTATGTTTGGTGGTCCCTTTCAATGTCCATTTGGGTGAACAGAAAATGTTTACATTTTAAATGTTTGAATCATTCCTATAGCAATTGCAAGATGGGATGTAAATAAACATTACATATACTGACAAAGCCAAGAACATCTGAGTAGCAAGGTCAGAAATGTGCTCTAAAGGGCATTAGCTGGTCTCACTTCCAAAACATCCTGGCTTAGTTCACCGCTAAAAATAATACTATTTTCAGCTGTGCAGGATAGAAATCATTATAGTAAACAGGCTTTCTTCTACTCTGGTTTTGGATCATCAAATAGTCAAAGTACTTCCAACTCCTAAACCTTCACAATGATGGCTGCCAGTTGTATATAAAGTAGTGAAGAGCCCAGCTTCGTATTTTTCAGACCCTGTGTGAGGTAGAATATGCTGTACCATTAATAGTTCTTGGTTTGATTTTTCTTCTTTATAGTGTATATTTAATGTAAACATCTCTTGACAAGAGAATAGATATGAAGTACCATATTTTTCATATATAGTATGCCCCTGTAGATGGTACACATCTTGACTTTGAAGGACAGTCTGAAGAAAAAAGATTTTTCAGTTGATGTAGGTAAATGGCAGTGACTAGGGAGCTGAGTTTGCTCCCAAGCCTGCTGTTAGCCCCATGTGCCAGATGGGGCCTGCAGGTTGATAACAGTCTTCCAATATCTGAAGGGCAATTAGAGAGACCATAAAATTGGGGCCTTTTTCTGTAGCTTTAGGGGACAGGACTAGAAGCAATGGCGTCAAGCTGCACCAGAGGAAATTTAGGTTGGAGATTAGGAGGAACTTTCTGGTTATGTGTGTGGTCAAACATTGGAACAAGCTACCAAGAAAAATTGCAGAATCTCCATGCTTAGAAGTTTTAGGGGCAGGTTAGACTAACACTTGCCTGGGGTGGGTTGGTCAGGAATGATCCTGCCTTTGAGTAGGGGATGGACTAGATGGCTAGGGACAGAAATTACATACAAACCAGTATAAGTGATTGGAAACTGGTTCAAATCTGTAATGCAACAGAAGTTCAGTGCACATAAACTGCTTTCAAAGTGGCCGAAACCAGTTTTAGATAAACTTGGATGGATGTAGTAACAGACTTAACTGATTTACATTAAATTGATATATTGAACTTCTGTCCTAGATCACCTCCAGATTCAGGTTAACTCACAGTCCCCCAGGGTGCTTTGCACATCCCCCTCAAGCCCAGATTGTCCAACGGAGCATGGAGGTGTGCTCTAGTAAATATCTGTTCATTAGCTTATCGGTTCAGTCTACACAGCTTAGACTAACCTGCAAAGATTGAATTGATTCAGCCTCAGGCTTTTTGACTCTCTTGTACTCTAGTCAATGACCTTGTTGAGGTCCTTTGTAGACCTACTTTTCAGAAACCCTGTAAGTCCTAAATCCTTTGTGTTTTGTATGTTCCTCTAGTTTTTGTAACCTGGTTCATATTTTCCATATGTCAAAGCAGCCTGTGTTGCCAAAAAGGTTCCCTGTTCAGGGAAATTTTTTATTTGCTACTTCATAGCTATGTTGGAGAAGGAGAAAGCATGCGTATATGTGATGACCAGAATCTCAGAGCTACAACTTGGGCATCTCTCCAAGTCTTCACAAAACACAGCGCAGGGGGAGATGTGCGCCCTGTAACAGTATTGCTTTTAGCAGTGGGTCCTAAAGAATGCCCAGACAACCCTGGCTAGGTCATTAACCTCCATAGTTTGAGAGGGTGTGTGGGCTTTTTGTTAATACAGAGTTCATTCTGATTCTCTATGAAGTGTAGTGTTCTTGTTTTCTGTCTTGGTTTGACAGTTTTCTTCTAACATAACCTTTCAGTGCTGTAGAGAGGTAGGTTCCATTTTATAAGAAGACAGTCCTGCCTTACCTATGAGTTAGTCTACACAAAATGATCCTTGTCAGTCTCTTCTGACTTCAAGGAATCTTTCAGCAAACTTTACAACTTTAAACCCACTCATTTGAATTTTGACTTCAGGTAGTAAAAGGCTAATAAATGAAAGCCAAGCTTAAAAAATGCAGAAGGTGCATCTTAGATGCAGCCGGTGTGATTTAAATCTTGTCATTAGCAGCGGAATGGTAAGGTTCATTCTGTGCATATACTCTTGGCACCCCAAAGTCAATGACGTTATGAACGGGAAGAACAGAAGGTAGACCACTGCAGATCAGGGGGCCTTCCCACAGTTCTGGAAACTCGGTGGGGGGAAATTGGCACTGTTCCCATATTGCCAAACTTCCAACCCCATGGAGAGCCCCAGACACACTGCACGTCAAATTGAGATGCCTAATTCCAGCATGCAGGGGCAGGCACCAGGCCCCAGGGCCTGATACCCAGCATGCAGGAGCCAGTCAAGGCCCTATGGAGCCCTATCCAGACATGCAGAGCCAAAAGCCTGAGTACCACTGCTCTAGACCTACCTTATTCATATATTCTCCCTCTGAAGTATCTGGTGTTGCCACTGCTGAAGACGGGATACTAGCTTACATGGACCATTAGCCTGATCCAGGACGGTGTACTTATGTTCTGGGAACGTCGATAAATGGTTTAAATCAAGATTGCCTCATTGATCTCCATAAATGCTCATGTCATGTCCTGGCTTCTCTAAAATATACATTTAGTACAAAACAAGTCCCAGATCTTGCTTTTTATAATTAAAAGTATTTAACTCTAGACTAAAATCACATATGTTAAAATATCTCACACACTCATATGTATCTCCTCCCCAGAAATCAGTCCCCTAAAATTGGGGTGCATTTATTCAGCAGGGAAGCAGTTTTCTTTGGAAAAGAAGCAAGCCTGGAGACACTGTGCATGCATGCAGCTGCCTAGATGGCTGCCACTTGTGTCTGAGAAAGCTGAAGGGGGAATCCTGTGTTAACCCTCTCACTATCATAGAATTACTGAGTTAATGACTTGTTTAGGTTAGTGTTAGACTGTGAAAAACTACCGTATTTACTCACATACACATGCCCCTGGATAAGACAAGTCGCACTGTTTTCAGAAGGCAGAGCAAAGAAAAGAAGACTTCCCTTGCCAGCAGCATAAACAGCAGTGGCAGTAGTGGGGGAGTAACAACCTGTCCCTGTTTCATTAACCCCTCGCTGCTGGCTGGCTATGGACAATTCCTTCCATTGCAGCAGCGGGGTCTGCCCCAGTAACATCAGGTTAAGGGTATCATATGCAGGGTTACTTTACTTTTCCTCTATGCCATTTCACTTTCTTAAAGGACACTCTTGAATTGTCTTATTACTAAGTAGTGAAAAAAATGACGGTTACTCCTAAAATCCAAAATAAGTAAATGGGAAGAGAGGGAAAGGAGTTAATAGTTTTTTAAATATTATTTCTACTAGTATAATATCGCCATCTTTTTGTTTTAAATATTATTTCTACTAGTATAATATTGCCATCTTTTTGTTTGTATCTTTTTCCTTTCCTGAATGTTGCTATTTTTCTGCCTCCGCCAAGGGGAGTAAGAAACTGAAACTTTTGTTGCTTGCAGACAAAAATTCCAAGTGCAACAGCCAGTCACATCAGCAGGTTTACGATAGTCAACCAGAATACCATATTTACTTGAATAGAAGATGACCTTGGCTATGAAATGACCCCATAATAATTAGATTCTATATATGGAAGTTTATAAATCTCTTATAATTTTCCAGGTATAGAATCTAATTGTTGGAAGTGTGCCTTGAATTTATCTCCACCCCACTGCTACAGCAGGAGAAATAAGTCTAGTAGGTTGGATTTTTTTTTCTCTCTCTCTGCTTTCCCCCCACCCCACACACACACTTTTTCCCCAGGTAGCCCCTTCCCCCCACTCTCTCCTTGAGCATGTAGAAATGAGGAGTAAGTTTGAAAACAATAACTTTGAAATTAATCATAGCTATAGCAATTTGCATATAGTACCCATACACTTAATTCATCCAAAATTGATGCATTTTACCCCTTTTTGAAACTGCTGCCAGTTATAGCTGAGGTACTCCATAATCACCAGGGATACAGGTTCTCTGTTTGCTGTGGGAAAAATGCAGATTTTCTCCTTTAAAGGAGAAAAATGCAGGAAACTGCAGGTTTCCTTTAGCAGGCTGGCAGAGTTCTGGGCTACTTGGGGCTGTGGGAGCAGGTTTCAGGGGGCGCCACGTGCATGTGTGCACATACATGCATACATGTGGCCAGCAGTACAGCCAGGCAGCAGTAGAGAGCGCTCCCTCAGCTTCCTGTAGGTAAGTCCATGGTGGGGGACATAGGCAACGTGGGGGGAGCAGGAGTTGGCTATAGTGATGGAGGGAGTAGGAAAGGGTTTGTGGCTGGGGGAACTGCCCATCTGGGGCAGTGCTGGAGGCCTAGGTGGGAATGTGTGGCTGCGGGGCCTAGTGGGGAGAGAGGAATGGAGCCATGGGTGGTTTGTCCAGTAGGTTGGTGGGGAGCCTGACTCCCCATTGCTGCACACACTCCTAGAGAGGAGGGTATGGTGGGGGGTGGCATTCCAGATTTGTATGCGGGGCAAGGGAGGATGTGGGCTGCTCTCTGTGGGGGTCAGGGCTCTCCACCTTGCCGCCCTCTCACTGGGGGCCTCCATAGCCCAGCAGGTGGGACCCAGCTTGGGAGGGTGGAGTGGGGCAGGTCAGCTCGCTGCTACCACTGCTGGAAGCCCCATGCCA